TAGGAGTTTTCAACAATGAAGACGTAAAGAGATAACTCCTTCCCCTTGCCCCTTCCCCTTCCCAGACCCCTGTTTGTTCATGTATGCAAACTAGTCTAATACTTTGGTTTGACATAAAAAAAAATGTGAATATATACAAATAGTTTAATGGTCCATCTCTTTGAATGATTTTCATTCCTAATTCTAGGAGAGTACATGGGTTGACCCAAATTCATGAATGAAATGTCAAGTAATCTTATCATTGATGCACTTTTATTTAATTTGATGTAGTCATATTATGAACATTTCCAGTTCATTAAGAGAGTGGGGATGACCTCCAGGGGTTCATAACCTTAAACCATTAGATGTACATAACATAATAACACAAGAAACAAAATTATGTATAGTCAAATGGAAAAGTTTTCTACTATTTAGGAGTCACATGATCATTTGTCATTTCAGGAACAGGGAGCGGCTAGGGAGATTGGAACCCCCCCCCCCCCCTTGAATTTGCAGAGTTATTTAAATAGGACTATATACTGATTTACAGAAGCAAATAAAAAATGACTTTGGATGCCCTCCCCCTTTAAAAACATGGACCCCACCATCATTGTTTTTATTTCGTTTGTTTGTTTGTTTGTTTTTTTTTTTTTTTGTTTTTTGTTTTGCTCCTCAGGAAATTCTGGGCTGGAATTTTTTTTGACTGAGGTGTGGAACCCCCCCCCTCCCCCCCCCAAGAATTAGAATTAAGAATAAGTGAAAAAAAATTCCCAGATCTGTGCCTGTAACTGAATGTAATGTCGACAACGGTAGATAACTCTTCAGAATGTGGCATCCGATGATCCACTCTCTACCATCGGCTCATACATTCAGTGTCTGAGAGAGAAACGAACGACAACTCTGCATAGGAGATTGCCGATGATCTTTGATCCTTTTTAAACTTTAACCTAACCATTTGCATTTCGGTTTATTTTACCCCAATCTATACTTAAACTTGTACTTACCGACTGTCATAGGTCCTGTCAACTTCATGAAATATAATCCAATTAAAACACAAAATGAATTAATTTCCACTGATATACATGTAACACTGCACCACACCATGTCACATGGCATGTGCAATCTAAAAATGATAATGGTAAAACTAGTACTAGTACTGGTAGGGTGACGCAAGCCCAATGTGATGTAGAAATTTTCAAAAAGGTGTGCACATACATGTACAGTACAAGAACAAATTTTAAATTATCATAATAAACGATGTTTTAACATAACTTTGCCATCTAGGCCTATTTCCAAAAACAGGCAAATTGTGTGTGTGTGTTGGGGGGGGGGGGGGGGGGGGAGAGACAAAATTGATTGGATATGGCTTTTCAAGGAGGTTTTTGCCTAATCAAATACTAAAAAAAGTTTGCACATTTTGATAAATTCATCAAAAACGCTTTGTACTAAAATAATATTATTTGTTGTTGAGAAAATAAATTTAAAAAGTTCCAATTATGGGCCAAAAATTTATATCCCCCCCCCTTTTTATCAAAACCTATTTTACATCATTAATTAAATTCTGTTATTTCAGACTGGTAATGAATTAAGTATATTAAATGCGTATAAGAGGTTCATGGGTCACATGGTCACCTGAGCATTTTATGCTCGATTTGACGAATACATGTACTGTGTAAATTATAGAATTATTTGGACTTTTTCCTTGGTAAGCCCAATATGAAGGAGTGTGCATTTAGAGGCAAACACCTTAGTGCGGGTATTACTGTCTCATGACAGCATCTAGTTTAATCAAGTTGTGGTCATGGCTGATGTTTAAAAAAATGTTATACCATGTCAGGAGTGCAACAGAAAAAATGTAGTGTTGCCAAAAAAATATCAATTGTAAAATTCTGAAAGAAAATTAAGACAAAAAAGAATTTTCGAAGTGTAAAACAATAACTGATATACATTTTAAAACTTAAAAATATTATATAAATCACAAGCAGCATTAATGAGAGTCAAGTATATGTGCATACCCAAAAATGTCAGGAGTGCAACATTTGATGTTTTGCTCCCAAGCATGAAAAATCTGTTATCATTATATGATTTTCTGATTTTTATTTTGGAAAATAAAGACACAAAGAACATTTTTACCAAATAGATTTATCAACTACAGGATCTGTCTGTGCTTCAGATCCGTATTTCTATGGTCAGGAGTGCAACATATTTTTTTAAAGATTCAAGTTGTGTGAAGAAAACACTTTTATTCATGCTTAGAAGTATTCATTAACTAATAATGATCTTTTCGTATAATTTAATACTAAATTATTGACAGTTTTATTATTAAAATCCTTCTTTTTTCAATATTATATATTCAGATGTGTTTTTATCTTTTTTGTGATTTTTTTAATGAATGTTAAAAATAAACACACTAAAACATTGTCATAAAATTCAAGTAATTCCTCCTCAACTTTACTGAAACAACAGAACAAGTTCTTATGTAATTTTCACTTCACAATTCTACTTTAAAGGCCCCAGTGCTTTTGGTCAGGAGTCCAACAAATATGTTAGAATTATAAATTATCCAATAAGACTAAAAATAAAGAAAAAATGATGAGTGGAATTTTTCTGGTGGGTTACTGTGTTTGTCCTCTAAAGGAAAATATGCTTTAAAATATATTTTATCTTCTAAATATACATTTAAGCTAGTTTTTTGGCATAAAATAGGGTATAATTCCAGGTAAAATGTGAATTTAAATACTTTCATCTGTTTTAATTATGAAGTATTGGACTATAAGTATTGCACAATTTCATTACCACTTGATGCTGCCAACACTTCATGAATTTTTGTGTTCTATGGTTTTAATTTTAAACTTTACTGCAGTCAGGAGTGCAACAAAACTGCTTCATAATTACCGATGCTTTTTAACTATCTTTACTAATAAATAAGTTGAAAAAAATGCTTGATACTATTTGATGTTCAAAACACTGTCTATCAACAAATTACAGAAATTTTACTGTAAACTCAGGGAATAGTTTTCATCATTTCACATATATTTTAAATACAATTTATATATATTACACTTTGCTAATAATCATGTTTTAAGGTCTTCAAAATATGAAAAAAACCTGCTGTAAACGATGAAAAATATCAACACGACATATTGATTTACAAAGTAAGAATGGGTTATTGTGTGTTATAATTTTTAAAACAATGTTAAATAAAATACATATCAGATGTCAGGAGTGCAACACAATAATGTAACATAGGGTCGCTTCAAAATCTAGTATTTTTTGTAAGAGAACTCGTATATAACAATTACTTTTTGGCTTAGATTTAAAGAATTGACTTGAACGGACAAAAAAGTGAATTTTGGGTAATTTTATTGCTTCATATTTTTTTTTTTCATATTAAAACTTTTCGAACCAGAATTGAAAAAATAATGCAAAATAACAATCAAAAAGCCAATTTTTTGTCACATGTACAAGAGAAGATAGTCATTCAAGGTCTAGATTTAATCCTTTATACCCCTTTTACCATTTTGAAGCATAAAAAACTATAATTTCTTGTGATTATGTATTTTAAAAAGTCTTTTTAGGTGTAATGATGTTTTCTTTTTTCAAAAGAAATTTTACTAATAAAAATTCTGAAACTTTTTAATCCAATTGTCTATTCTATTGCCACTTCAGGATTTTAAACTAGAATGCATTTGCAATATGATGATATACGTGAAAAATATGTTATAAGTAGTTGAATTTTGCCCCAAAAATTCAGTTTGGTGGTCATTTTTTTTTTAATTCACCCTTAGGTAGTTTTTCGGTTTCAGACCATAAGAAGAATGTGTTTATGAATTATGTAGTCATTTAAGCCACATATGTACTCAATGTTTAGTTATCAATCATATTCATAATTCGGCTTCTTTTTCTTCTAATGTTTCCAGACAGATTACAGTTACTGTAGCTAAAATTTTTTTTTATTTATTTCAAAATCAAATATTACATAATCAATTACAGTTATTTTCAATAAATAAAGTCACATTAGTAGCAAAGTGCAATATACCAAAGTATATGTGTGGTTTATTAAATGGAGAGTGAAGGCAGATTCTTGAAATGAAGACCTATCATTAGGTCAAACGCTGACTGACGTTTTTCGTGGTGATTGTTGCGCCGTTGTTTGCAGGCTGGGTTGTCTGCGGATTTTCTCGTTTTTCCCGATCATAACGAGGAGCACCGGGCAGGTGTGACCATTCGGCAGGGGATGCTCACTCCATGGCACCTGATCCCTCCGCTGATGTTTATTGGATGTTCGTGCTTGCTCTGCTCCCGATTTGCATTGTTCAAATGGACTTTGAGCTTGAATATTGTTCGTTATTTCCATATTTCATGAAACGATATTACAATAACCGTGATTTGGGTGCGTGACTGATAAAAAGAAATGTCAGGAAATGAGAAATTCCATAAATGAGTAATTTTATTCAAAGGAATTCGCGCTGGCAAATTAATTACATGTATATTATGGCCCTGACTGGACCTTACACCCCACCCCAAACCCGAATAAGTTTTGGAAATAAGGTAGTCAACCTTGACTGGTGTTTTCGGACCTTTTTTCTATTCATTTGTTTTTCATGGAAGAAAATAATCTGTCCCTAGTCATCTTGAAAACTAAATCATGTATCCTGTCCTTCAAAGTCATGATAATAAATAATCTTGTCAGAAATAAAATAAGTAAATTTCAGGCCCTTCCCCTCACCGAATCAAATGGTCGTCCTTGTAAAAATCTGTTGTAGATTATTTGTATTAAATTCGAAAACATTGTAATTTCTTGCAATAAATAATAGGCATTAAATAAACAAATTTGTAAACTCTCTCTTTTGTGTGGATTAAAATGTAAAATTGTTCAATTAGTTGTCTCGTTGTTAGTATGCATGGCGACGAATGCATTACTTGTACATTATTGAATTAATTCGTTTCACTGTAATGGGCTCTTGAGTATTTCTGTTCAGATTTAAGATACAAATAGATGTTTTATTTCTATATTTCAGAGTCGTTACCTCAATCTTTTCCGGACGAAGTCCTGAAGAAGGTAATCAGTTTAGTTTAATGACATTATGAGCAATACATGTCATTATATATATATATATATATATATATATATATATATATATATATATATATATATATATATATACATGCCAATCCGTTACTATAAATTTTCAAATGTTTGATTTTTCCTATGGAAAATCGCTGGTCAAATTAGACTATATGCAATGTATAATTTTTGAGGTTATAGAAAAATTATTGCAAAAATGTTAAATAGTTTTATCTACATGAAACCCCCCGAAAAGTGAACGCTGTTGAAAGCTTTTTTTTATATACAGACATTTTCAAGTATGTCGATATCATTGCAACAGAATGCATATATACAAGTATAAGATAAACAAATTTCAAATTAACAAAGAAATTTCAGAATTAGATATGATACAAAAATTACTAGAAATATATTTTTTATTACTCAAGCCCTTATCTACAACGATACTAGGTCATCGATTTACTCCGTTTAAAAACACAAATTAAAATATGTATTATTTATGTAAATAAAAACATTTCTAGAAACAAAAATGAAGCATATCTTGGAAGTGTCTGTATATTCATAGATATTAAGTTTTAATTTTCGGATTCTATTCTATGACGAAAGAATATTGAGTCATGCTACGCAGCCGCAACAGTTTCTATATAGAGATTTCGCGCTGTCGATTGCGTAGGAATCTCAGGTAAGTTTTTCAACGGCAACGTTCGAAAAATTGAGATTTTCAGCTTTTGTTGAGCCCAAATAAAAACTAAGAAAAATCAAACAAACCTTTTTCACAAATACGACACCTTGTTGCCACTTATATAGAAACTATTTAGAATACATCTCTAAGGAAGTGATAACCATGGGTACATTTGGAATGCATTTTAAATCCGTAAAAACGCTCAATATTCTCAATGATACAATGTAGGAGTTACGTAATCAAACTCGATCAAAAACAGCAGGAAAACAATAAAAATATTTGATTTTAAGTATTAGGGTATAAGCAGAATTCTAAAAATAACTTTCATCGTTGCGATGGTAACACAGTGTAGGCATACAAAATTTGTTGCTAAGTTTCGGTTACTGTGCGTGCAAAAGATTGGGAATTCAAGACTAGACTAGCAAATATACGTCGTTTGGACCTTGTAACAAGGATATGATGGGAAAATTTTGGATTAATTGCTATTTTGCAGTGAAACCATGGAAACAACGGACCAGTGGTTAAAATATTTTGTTATCTTTTAATCAAGAAACACCTTGAAAAGTATTTATTTGACTTATAAGTTTGTTGTTTAACGTCCCTTTCGGGAATTTTTCACTCATATGGAGACGTCACCACTTGTCGGTGGAGAGCTGCAAATTTATACCTATACTCGGCACTCAGGGCCATTAAGCAGTGAGGGATCTTTTTCGTGTCAACACCTATACTGCGAGACGGGACCTCGGTTTATACGGTCTCATCCGAAGAACCGGTACCCAGGTCCCGCAGTGGATTCGAACCCGCGAGGTAAGGATCAGCTCCTTACTCCGCAACTCTAGAACAGACGCTCTAACCACTGCGCCAGGCGGGCGACGTTCGATATTGTAAAATTTATAGAAACATTAAACCCTATGTGGCACGGTCTTGCATCCAGCTAGAGATTAGGTGGTAGTCAAAATTTAAAGTCAGGTTAGTTGTTCATTAATAGTGATCTTAAAAGTTTTGGGAATCTACATAGAAGGGTTCGTATCCAAGGAAACAAAATATTTTTTTCAGACTTTTATACATTTTTTGATTATAATTTCTATAACAACGTTCTGTTTAAAGAGTTTAATTTGCATTTTTGCAATGTGAAAGTAAGAACCACACCATATATACTGTATACTTGTAAGACAGTTGTTGCGTTCAAACATATTTCTTTTTTCTTTCCAATAACAGCTGGACATTTTAGATCAGCATGTCAAATTGAAATGCCAGGATGAGTATTGGTTTATGAAGTTACTTGCCTGCATGCTTTACCTCACTAAAACTCTTCGATGGAATATGTACATGGCAATGGATGTCACTGCAGACTACAGCAAAACAATGAGAATGAGATACAAGTATTTATTATTTGAACTGCAAAAAAAAACACCCCAGAGCGGGATATTTGATTTTTCTTTGATTGACTGAATGTCTGTCCATCCGTCGATGCGTTTTGTCAGTCTCTTAGACTAAACCTGGAATTTTTTATCCTTGTGAATTAAAACTATTTCATTATAATATTGGGTGATATAATCATATAAATTGTACTCGGGTCAAGACTAAAGAACTGTTGATTCTTATGAATGTTGTAGCTTTTTGAAAATAGAATAATCGGTCAAGGTAGCCTAGCTAGTAGTAGGGCTTCGCTTTGTGACCGGGAGACCCGGGTTAGATTCCGTTCGCCGCGCTGTGTCAAACCTAAGACGTAAGCATAGGTAGTGACTGTTCCTTCGTCAAGCACCCTACATTGAAAGTCATGTCAAGTACGTCAGATGAAACCTTAAAAATTTAGTATAACTCGGTCTGGTCAGAGGCAAGTTACTATCTGGGTTTAACATTCTTTCAAATAAGTGTCAAAAGAAACCTTATTTGTGATTATATTTCAAGATCTCGTAGATCAGTGACCTTCACCTTGTGATATTCAATTTTATTGATTGACACCGAAGAAAACATTGTGTAAAATATATTCGATTCAGTAATTAAATTTCTTTTTATAAGAGTAACGAAAAAAACGACCCAGGATACCACCCCCTAGAAAACCTACACCCCTTTAAAAATGGTAAGGAGAGTCATCTCTCAGAAGAAAATTTATTTAGCAAAGTCTGGTGTCCTACTAGTACTCCCCCTCCCACACGAAATGTGATTTTCAGGTTTGGGTCAGCTGTTTTGTGTGTGTGTTGTGTGTTATTCATTTTTTTCTCTTTGTTTTGTTGGTTTATTCCTTTCTTTCATTTTTTTTGGCTTGTCGAAAAAATTCCGAAACGGCATTTGTTACAGTTGAACTGGAACCACATCCTCCCCCCGAAATAATCCTTGGTCCGTCCCTCTTTATATTGCTAACGCCTACCATGACATAGGACCTCGGTTTTTAAGATCTCATTAAGACCCGTGACTTTAACTTCAATTACCGGGCGATTGGAAAAGGAACAGTCATTTCTTGTCTCTCTCTCTCTCTCTCTCTCTATCATCTATCTCAAGAAAGATATTAATACAAGCATTTTATCAAAATTTACATTGCAGATTTTTTTATCCCTTTTTTAAAAATCCTCGACTCACAATCTACTTTCCCGATGCCAGTATATCTCACGCACCCGAAATACAGTGTTCCAGTCTGGCACATCGATATTACCCTCTCCCTTCTCAGACAAAGGAACTTCTCTGTTCTGCAAAGACCAGGATCTACGAACTAAAGATTCATGATAATCGGCCATTTCAGGTAGCCTTACTTTCAAAATGCAGCACCTGATATTTCAAGTGTTAAATGAATATCAACGTATCTGTCTTTCCATAAACGCGACATTAAACTTCGTCTTGTTACTCAGGCCTGTTAGATTTAAAGAGTTGTAATTCACGTATTGCATTTATTCCATTTTAGATGAAAGTTAATGACATCACAAAGGTATTTTTTTCTCAATATTTTGAGTTTGCAAATTCTGTCACAACTTCCTTTATGTATTTAAAAAGAACTCATTTTTGCTGTAAGTTATAAACAAGTAATAATGCACAAAAAATTATAAACCTTGGATGGGATTTACTATTTTTGACAACATAATAATATTATTATATTATATTATTATAATAAATAAATTTATATTTTATCTTTATTACATAATAATGTTTCAGTCAAGTTTTTAAAAATAGGGATACTGTGAGCACCGAGCTCACAATATGATACTCCCGCCTCCCATATGTTCATACTGCCAAAGTCCATGTTTTGCTATGGGAGACCCGAAATATGTGTCCGATCAAAAAGTTTTTGTATGTTGTTTAACGTCCCTCTCGAGAATTTTTCACTCATATGGAGGGCACCACTTGCCGCTGGAGAGCTGCAAATTTTGTCCCATACTCGGCACTTACGGTCATTGAGCAGTGAGGAATCTTTTTCGTGCCAGCACCTACTGCGACACGGGACCTCGGTTTATAAGGTCTCATCCGAAGGACCGGTCTCCACGTCCCACCGTGGGATTCGAACCCGCGACGTAAGGATCATCTCCTTACTTCGCGACTCTAGAGCAGACGCTCTAACCACTGCGCCACGCGGGCCCGATCAAAAAGTAAAATAGAAGGTGAATAATGGCACAATGTAATAACAAAGATTCTGTGAAAGTATCATTAAATTTTATTGAGTGGTGTAAAAGGAGTTGCAGATAAGAGAAAGGTACCCCTCAATATTATAGGAAGAATAGCAGTGTCTATGTTTTGCTATTGGAATCCCGAAATATGTGTCAAATCAAAAAGTAAAATAGGAGGTGCACAATGGCACTATAAAACAAAGATTCTGTGAAAGTATCATTAAATTTTATTGAGTGGTATAAGAGGAGTTGTGGATAAGAGATGTGTACCCCAAAGCGCAACGGACGGACGAACGGACACCATATCATGCACTTAATATCCCCCACTTTTCAAGCGGGGGGGGGGGTATAAAAAATAGCCAGTGCTAATTTAGATTGTTCATTCATGTAGCATACACTCATGAGGTTTATTCCTGCTTTTTTCCCGATTAAAACAGTGAACTAGGAGCTTTGCCCAAAGAAAAACAAAAGTGGAAATCTAACATTTTCATTTTACTAGAATCAAAATACATAATTTTCCATTACTACAAAATATTGTGGGAAGAAAAATGGTTCCTCTCAGGGAAATCAATGCGGCCTCCGATCCTGTATTCAAGTGGCTTACACATTATTTTGTACACCTTCTCCCCACCTTAACTGCTTGATCATAAAGAATTATGATGCACTTTTCAGTTTTAAATTTTGGTATTCTGTATCTTTGAGTGTTGTAGTTAGACTAGTAAGCACACTTTATTATATGCCTTGCAAGATTGACATTAAATTTTTCATGAAAAGATTTGTTTACAAGGCTTTTGCATTATAGTGCCTTCTTCTAAAAGGTTAAATAAATACAATCTATATAAGTTATTCACACTTGAATTATCAAAACATCGTAAAGACAGTCACCTCTGTAAGAAAAACGTTCACTGCAATGAACTTTGTGGTTACTTTCTTTCATGGTTATGTAATTCTAACAGCATATGAAGTTTCCTCTGTTCCAAGTTAACTTTTCGTTCTTAAATAATAACCTACTCGTTGTCTCATTTTGATTAATCTCCTAGTGCACGGAAAAAGCATAAGCAACGCGCTAATGGCTCGTTATACTAGTTTAAGCCGATTTTTTTCTTTTTCACAAAATGTTATATCTGAATGAACATAATTTCTTTATATAGTACGTTGCTTGGAATGTTTTTGTTGTAGAGAGAGACGATTCTTGAGTTTGAAGACGATTTCATAACAGATAAAGATTATCTAATATGTAGTTTTGACGATAGGCAGTCATGGCATAGATATGCTCTTCGACCGGTATGCATTATTTTATGTCCAAACATATTTACAAATGCTATATAACATTTCATGAATATTGTGTATAAGTGTTCTAAAATCATTGTATATAATTCAATTTGAGTGAAATCTTTCATTTTAATACTCGTTTTAGAGAGACGAAAAATTATCATGCTTTCTTCCAAAGCTTCCAACACATTGCTTTGTGACAGGAAGACAGGGACATACAATTGTCAATGAACAAAGCCTGTTTTATTTCCCGGACATAGAAATTCATCAGATAAGAAGAGAAAGTTGTTCAATTTATATGAAAGCAGACAAAAGAATACGTATATCATTTCCACCAGGATGTGTCGATGATGATTGTGATCTCTATTTGATGGTAAATGAACAATTTTAATAATAACAAAATCATGTAAATGGCTTACTCTACAATGCAGTTTGCAATTACATGTACGTCACCCATGCAGAACATGCAATATTTCAGAGAATTCGAAGCACCGCCCGCCACACCATCGATGCCTCAACATCTGCCCTTCTATACTATGTTTAACCTAAATTCTTGTTAAAAGATTGTAAGGCAAAAATTTCAAAACTTACTGCATTAGGATTCGCTGTTTATTTGTTGATATCATCTAGTGAATTCTGCCAAAAGTTCTTGACTAAACACAGTCCCTCGTCGACCTACATGAAATAACTTTTTAGAGCATTGCATGGGATACTACTATCCCATGATCTGTCCACCTATTCTCTTTAAAAATAAGGGGGGGGGGGGGGTCAATACTTAATTATCGTCCTCTGGCGTCAGTGGTTAATTGAATGAAATTTGGAGATAACGAAACAGTATTCAAGCTCGAAGTCACTACCCTACCAAACACTACTGATTATTGTTCTTATAACAGTATCTTTCGATTTCCTCGGAAAAAAATTAAATTAAGTCTATCTTAAGTTGGGCAACCCCAAAATCTTGCTTCTTTCATCTTGTTCAACGGCTCATTTTCCCCAGTATTTTGTTAATATAAGTTCATTTTCTTTTATAATACAAACAACATTTTATACGTGAATGATAAAATGTCTATAAAAATGTCTGAGCTTATTTTGAAAATATCTAAATATTAATGGTAATCTAACAACCAAGCTTTATGATAAACGTGATGACTTAACTTTTCAATCGTTAACTTCTCTTACTTATGCAGCAATATACCTTCATCACCTGCATACAATTGTACGGGGTTTATATCTCTCAGTTGATTCGATACACAAGAGCATGCTCTACGTATGTACAATTTCTAAAACGAGGAAAATTATTGACAAACAAGTTGATGAAACAAAAATATCAGCAGTCTCGCTTAAAGTCATCATTTATTAAATTCTAAGGTCGATACAATGACCTTGTCAGCAAATACAATTTATCATTGAGTCAAATGCTGATTGACGTTTTTCATACTAATTGTTAGGCCACTATTTACACACTGAATTGTCGACGGATTTTTCCGTTATTTCCCGATCATGACAAGGAGCACACGGCGGGTGTGACCGTCGGCAGGGGATGCTCACTCCTCCATGGCACCTGATCCCATCTCTGATGTTTTGGAGGTCCTTCTTTGCTCTGCTCCTATTTTGTAATGTTTAATGGACTTCTGAGCTTGAATACTGTTCGTTATCTCCATATATTTCATTAAAAAATAATGTTGTCAACGAGGAACCGGTTAGTCGCCTAACAATCGAGTGTAGCGAGTATCGATTAGTAAAATTGCTACTCAGTTACTCAGATATAAAGATATTTTACAGAGTAAATCTTTAGAAAAGAAATAGCCCTCGCCTCCGTTGTGGACAGTTGTTTTAACCGACAGGCTGTTCCGGGCTTCCATCCCAGCACAATCTACCACTCTTTTTTTAGCACTCCTTTGAAATTTGTTAATTTTGGCAGTGAAAAATTCTCAAGAGGGACGTTAAACAACATACATACAATCAATCAATCAATAATTTTGGCATTGTTACAGAAATTAATCAATTTAAGAGCGTGTACTTTTTATGCCCCCCTTCGAAGAAGGGAGGGCATATTGCTTTGCTGCTGTCGGTCGGTCTGTCTGTCTGTCGGTCCACCAACAGTTTCCTTTATTTTCTTTGCAGAGGTTGCACATACTGAAATGAAATTTGGTATACAGCTTTATCATAAACATATTTAAGTCAAGTTCTGTTTTGGGTACAATCGAGCAATTTTTGACAGAGTAATGCATCATGGACTTAGAAAAATTCCAATTATTTGCAGTTTCCGTTCATTTTCTTCGCAGAGGTTGCACATACTGAAATGAAATTTGGTATACAAATTTATCATAAGAATATCTAGGTCAAGTTTTGTTTCGGGTACAAACGAGCAATTTTTGACAGAGTTATGCCCCTTGGATCTAGAAAAATTCCAATTATTTGCAGTTTCCGTTCATTTTCTTTGCAGAGGTTGCATATACTGAAATGAATTTGGTATACAAAGTTATCATAAGGATATCTAGGTCAAGTTCTGTTTTGGGTACGATCGAGCAATTTTTGACAGAGTTATGCCCTTTGGACTTTGAAAATTTTCAATTATTTGCAGTTTCCGTTCATTTTCTTCACAGAGGTTGCACATACTGATATGAAATTTGGTATACTGATTTATTATACAAATATGTTTTGGGTACAGTGGAGCAATTTTTGATAGTTATGCCCCGTGGACTTGGAAAAATTCCAATTATTTGGGCGGGGGGAGGGGGGGGGTGAGTGTTTCACAAACATCTCTTGTTTAATTTGTGCAAGACTATAACTACTTCATCGTGTCACATCATGACTCGCATGTCGGTTTCAAACGTATTTTATGACAAATTGTAGAACTTTTATATAGACCTCTAAGTCAATTAACTCAGTCTTAAAAATATGAATTTTATATATATACATGTACGCAGAACTTTTCAAGATATATTAGGAACTGACAAACAAACAGCAAGAGAGAACACAAAAACATTTAACCTCATTCAGTCAAACACCAGCTGGTGTTAATCATTTTTACTTTTCGAAATGGAAACATATACGAAGCAAATTTAATATTTTTATTTAATGTTTGGGACATTTAATTCTCGAGTTTGAACTAAATTCTTCTATGGAAACCACAGGCCTTTAGATCTCTTTAATCCGACTAATAAAAAATTGGGGTGTTTAAAAAATATCTCTTAAACACCCCAATTTTTTTAAAGTCAGATTTAAGCAATCCAAAAGCATTTGATGGAAACCGTTCATTTAATTGCCTTTAGTTATAAACCCCTCCCTGGATATGGATCTGTTACTAGTAAATTTTTTTTCATTGAGACAATTATGCAAATGTAATGAACGTATTTTCATCCATTCTCATCAAATTTATACTACGTTCGGCATTATATCCTTGACATTCATTGTTCTCTATTTTTAACTTAATAATAACAACTGAAAAGAGCTTTGAAAATTGAAATAAAGCAAAAACTTTTTTTTTCAGATGGACTTACCCGAGAAGCAGATTTGTCCATTCATTCATGTATATATCACGAAGGCCGCCGGTTGCCCTGTTGAAATCAGTTTGCCAATAGTTAATCAAGGTCATCTTGTAAACAGTAATGGTATTTGAATATTACAGATAGCCAATTTTGTGTTTGCAGAATTACAAGAAAGCATAAATTAAACAAATATTAATTTAAGAACATAATTTTAAGGATTGAAGAATACAGAGAATTTGATTATAATCAGGGAAGGAGACGGTGAATGGATGACCTTGAATTCTGTGTTGAAATTAGATGCTGCTGGATATACGTTTGAAACTTCCATTATTAAATCAAAGTAAGTTTCCACCTTTTCTGAGGAATAAAAAAATCAAAATTGTGTTCATATTCAATATGCGCTGTGATATTTTTACGTGATTTTGCAGTGTGCCGACAGTATTTGGAATAAAAGAAGCTGAACTGCCTTGGGTACGTCGTAAAACATGTTCACCTTTCAAATGCGCGTAGGTTTATATATATTTATGTTCCTTTGTTATTGTAACAAGTCCGAAGCCAAGTCAACTGAGCTAGTTTTTTGATGGATAAAAGAAAATAACAGCAGTATTGAAAGTGAAAAAATTGTCATTTATTTAAGTAAATACGCAAAACAAAAATACACATAGTAAGGGGGTCAGAAGAGACTAGAAAAAACTTCCAAGAACACAAAAATCTTTGGCATCATATTATGCAAACTGACCCCCTTAAATTAAACATACCATAAAGCAGGACATGTATATATAATTGTAAAACATCATGAAGAAGAAATGAAAGCGCTTATGTTTTACTTGTTTTTATATGTTTGAATATTTTTCATATTTATCACCGACCACTGTGATTTTTCTTGGAGAGATATATATATATATATATATATAAAGCACTAAAAATGACCAACGACACGAACAATAATAATAATATATATATATATATATATATATATATATATATATATATATATATATATATAAAGCACTAAAAATGACCAACGACACGAACAATAATATATATATATATATATATATATATATATATATATATATATATATATATATATATATATATATATATATATATATATATAACTTTCATTTTTCAGGTTGAAAATGGATTTGACCAATTGGGTAATAAACTCAGTTCTAGGATTTATTGTTTGGGTATTTAATGTTGAACTTCTCTGCCAAAAAAAAAAAGATAACAAATGTATAATAATAAACGCCCATTTGTCTATTTAAACACTATAATTATTCTCCCTAAAATGTTTCTATGTTTTTCCTCATTCTACAATCTCACTACTATGTTTTTAGCTGTACTGGTCAGAGACCAGAAAGGCTTATGAGACAGTAAGATGTCCGTCGTTTTCTGTATGTCTGATATTTCTCAAAATGCCACTCCCCTTACGTTTTCTCCTACAATTTTGATCTGATTTCAATATAACTTGATACAAAAGAAGACTTCGCTACAATCTAATTAAAATTAGATGTTCCGAATCCGCTACCGCTTCTCAAACATCTAACAACATCCCATTAGAGGTCACGTCAGAGCGACCTTTCGATTAGGAATAAACATAAAAATTTTGGCCAATCAGATTCAACCTTCTGTATACGATCCACGGCTACATCTTTACATTATTAATGCTCAGTAGACTGTTTTACGTTGAATTAAAGTAATTTTGGTATAAATTGAACGTATAGTCCGCCAATCTGGCACTCTTACCTGAATAATGCAAACGAAAATGCACAAACTACATGTATACATCTTTACATTTATATATAGCACGGTCTTTTGTTTACTACGAAACCCCTCGGGCGTTTAGTGTGGCAGTAAAAAAAACGCATCCGAACTATAAGCCAAGATTTCAGAGACGGCGATTTCATTGGGTAATCGAAAGGTCGCTCTGACGTGACCCCTAATGGGATGTTGTTAGATGTTTGAGAAGCGGTAGCGGATTCGGAACATCTAATTTTAATTAGATTGACTTCGCTAAGGTTTATAATTCTATTCTTGAATTTTGGATGAATCATGTTGCCATGGGTACTAAAAATAGAAATTTCCGTGAAATTCTTTCAAATTAAATAATACCCTTGCTACAGCTTTGGTCTCATTCCAATAAAACTACACAGGTAGATCACACTAAGATACAAAATTCTATATGTATCAATTCTTAAAGTAAATCAAAAAAATTAAAATTTCTGTGAAAATTCTTTCATAACGCTTCTCCTACCGTGAGACTAAACCAAGAATCATGCGTTATTTTGTTTATTGCTTTTGCCATAGTTTCGAGTCTAAGTGCCATTTTTAAAGAGGTTCGCCCCTGAGCTTTTGAGCAGATTTTGTCTTGACCTATATTTATAAAAAATCTGCATAATGTTTTAGTTCTTCGATAAATTTGGATTCTACAATGTCAATTAAACTATATTCAGTTTAAACCCCTTTATTTAATTTCATACCAAAAGCATTAAGTAAGGAACTATATTTTGTGGCGGATGGTTTTTTAAGAAGAAAAATGAACATTTTTTTTATCTTTCGAAGTATTTAAAGTTATGTAGAGTAACAGAAGAATTAAGCCTGTTGGTACATCTACACCAAAAACAAACAACATTCTACACGTAAATGCAGTTTAATGCATAATTTTGTTGCGTTTACTCTCGTTTCATCAACACAGTTCAGAAAGTTTCCATATTCTTGATGATGATTTTGAATATTATAAAATAAAATAAAAAAAACTCTGCCAAAAATGCTGAAGAGGGTGTCATTTGAGAAGTATATGACATCTGAAGAATTGTTTGACGTTTTTTTAAATCACAATTTGAAGGGGGAAATGTTGATGATTTTTTTTTTTTTTTTTTTTTTTTTTGCTTTTACACATGATCTGGATAATAACCTTGAGAGACATTTTTTAAAGTGTCTTAGCCCTATTCATTCAATGTGCCAATAACATTCTTCATTCTCATAAGATCATCATAATATCAATTTTGTTTGGTTCATAACGATAACTTTCACTGTTGTCTTTAATATACATGACATTGTAATATATAAAGCATCGTTTTTCCTTCGATTCACAAATATACAGTTAGACAGATGTAATGCCCAAATGGTGGAACTATTGACAATGCTTGTAATTGTCCGAATCTACTGCTTTTTCGTAAAAGGACAAAATTCAATCACTTAAAAAAATAGGCTTTATTGTATTGATATCTGAATCAGTAATGGTAAGTTTTTATTTAATATTTGATATTTATTATAGCAATTTTAAAACACTGCGAAAACCTCTGGATACAGTATAATGTTTATATGAAACGATAACTTGGCAATAAATGCAATGTAATTACAAGTTCAAACTCAAAGCTCTCCAGGCAAACAACAATTTTGTACTTTATCACAAAAAAAGCTTAATTTCTTGACGTAAATTGTTTTTGATACATGTATCTGCTTCACACTGCCTTCAATCAACTTTGAAAATGAAATGAAATGAGGTAATCTGTAATGAGGTCTGTTAAACTGAATTTTTCAGATTCAAAATTAATCAAGGCAATCAATATGGTTTCCCGTTATAACTCTGTTGCTGCAAAATGGAAGGATATCGCTCGTAGTCTGGATATAGAGATTCCTCCCGTATTTAACGATAAAGAGACGGACAGTTATGAAATTGTTAATCTGAGGGAGTATAGTGAAAATCAAAGCACAGAGGAGAGGAAATTCATTTTAAACAGAATTACTGATATTCCAATCAGCGCACAGGAGAAATGTCTTTATATCATGGCAGAGTGGTATCGTTTATTTCCACGCGGTTTAGTCGTGTCGTCATTGAAGAAAGTATTAGAAGACTGCAATTTACACTATATTGCAGGTAAAAATATGATGATGTCTCATACAGGCTCAATTTTACAAGTTCAAAATTTGAAATATATGAAAATATTTAAAGTGCATGTACAAAATAAACTTTGTTTTGGGTTACATGTATGACGCATTTAGATCTTTTCTTAAAGTTCGTTTTAATTGTACGTGTCTTTTCTTGCAGAACAACTGTATCAGAGATTGTAGAACACAAGAATGCAAACTCAAGACGTTTATATATAATTAAGAATATGAAGTGTCTTGACATGCTGACTTTCCTTACATCTCAGGAATCAAATTATGTCATAATGTAAATATTTTAACGAGGAATTTACCAATCTCTATACTAGGTTCATTTGAGCACATAGTCAATCAATGGCTATATTTTCTATCAGAAATGTACGAGATATAGATACTTTAAAGAAGAAATAAAGCATATGTAGAATCTTATTGTGTTTTATGAATCTGAATAGTTCAAAACTCTGAAGAGTGGGAACTTGTCAATTTTAATCCCTTTTTATTCAGAAAGTTCCAAACGCAAAGAGATAATTGCACTATCATGGCGTTTCTCAAGAAAGAACATAAATCAGATTAAGATTTCAATTCTCTATACTATGCTAGACATAATACAAAATTTAAGGTTGATTAGTGAAAAACTAAAATTGCATTAGATAAGATTAGGAAACAAAGCTTTTCAAAGTCTGGATAAATTTTATTGTGAAGTAATTTAATTTCAATAAAGCATGTGTGTAAATTGTTTAACCTCAGAATAAATCGCATGGAGCTCGGGGGAAACGAATAATTCAATCAGATACCCTGAAATATTTAGTAGATATATGTGTATAAAGTAAATGATGGCTGTAATTGAGTTCAGATGAGAGTCAGTTATCCGAAGATTCGTTTACCTGGGACTGTAGCTCAGTCGGTAGGGCGCTCGCTCCGTGATCGGGAGGTCGTGAGTTCGAATCTCGGCCACGACTGACCTAAGTCGATAAAAAATGGGTAGTAACTGTTCCTTCGCTACGCGCTCGACACTTTGAAGAGAAAGTTGTGGGTCCTTCGGATGACACCTTAAAAACCGAGGTCCCGTGTCACGGCAGGCGTTGGCACGATAAAGATCCCTCACTGCTCAATGGCCCTGAGTGCCGAGTAAAGGTCATAATTTGAAGCCCTTCACCGGAATATGGTGACGTCTCTATATGAGTGAAAAATTCTCGAATGGGACGTAAAACAACATACAATCAATCAATCGTTTACCTGGAAGTAATTTGGAAGGATCTTGGCGGGAACCAAAATGTCCGGATTAACGAGTCTCCATTGTAAACCAATATTATATTTTTCATAAGAAAGTGGGGATGTCAATGAGTTTTCGAGTACTTGAAATATTGCTCAATCATACCGATTAGCAACTTAATATTTTTAACTCGGTTAATCGGTAAATATGTGCTTTTTAATGGTAATTCTAAATTGATACAGTACGCTGAAATTTGAGAGTTGGTTTTTTTTTTCCAGATGGACTATTGGTGTCATATCATAGACCCTCCTTTGATGTTGTAGATTTAATTATATCTCTTAAAAAGAATGGTCACATACATGTATATGTACTCAAAGACCAACTTTTTTACTTCACGGTTAAGAGAGGGAGTGGTCGATAAGTACAGATGTGATTTACCTGGAGGGCGCTATAAATTTCTCGACAAATAAGATGAGCACTTACTTGATAACATTTAAAAAATTCACAGGATAAGAAAACAATAGTCTTTTACATCTGAAAACAAAGAATGTTATGATGAACCATATACTGTCGATGAATTACAAAAGTCGCTAGATAAATCCCATGATACAGTAGTAGGACCGGGTAAGATTCATTATCAAGAATAATTTTACATCTTCCGAAAAGCAGGAAAGAATGTCTTCTGCAAATCTTTAATATGATCTGTGAAAGAGGTAATTTTCCACTTTCATGGACACAGGCAACAAACATTCCTATTCCAAAGCCGGGAAAAACACCACAGATCCAAATAACAATAGACCAATTCCTTTTACAAATTGTGTATGCAAAACCATGGAACGGATGATCAATGGACGCTTAATATGGTTTCTTTAAAATACTGAAGTTGACCTATTTTTATCAAGAATTTTTTAAAATGACAGATTTCTTTTAAGTATCTAAGGGTCCAGTATCAAATTTGATCAAGAAATGGGTGTACCAGTCCACAAGTAAGTATCCAATCAGTCACATTATTTAGTCTAAAAATAAACAAATTAACAGAAGTTCTTAAAAAAGATATGCTTGGAAGTTTATATGTTGATGACTTTGACCTTTGATATATACTGAAACGCAGAAGAAATGCAACATTCTATTTTAGAGGGGAAAATCATATAAAGGATATAATTTTGTATCTAAAAAGTACGGATATCTTTAATATTGTAAGTTTCGATAATTTAACGGTTGAATGATTTTCATGCCATAACCGGAAGTTAAGTTTGAGCCCGCTGAACAGAAATCAAAAAATGCATATTTAACAAAACATTTGACAAAAATATGGGGTTTTAAGGGTTTGTATCTGTTTAACACAAGTAATTCAGCAATATTTCGCAAAATAAATTCTCCTTTCGTTTCCGAAAGAGATGCCAAGGCTTCCTGAAAATGACTTAAGTACGCATTTCAAGTGCTCTAGCTGGAAAATCTGAAAATACAGGTGATGGAGAATTGCAGATGCAAAAATGCACGACAACATGCCTCAACAGGCTCATACGGATCATTAGCATGAATGATAGTCCGTGGACCGGAAGTCCAAGTGTTACTACACTGCGCTAGGTTAGAGAAAATTCGACTTCATCATCTGAAAAACGGATATTTGAAAATGGCAAAGAATATTTTTTTTCGCTCAGATCCCGAGATTGATGAACTTACTGCATCGTGGAAATCAAGCTGCAATTGTTGTGCATGGCAGTCTTCCACGCTATAATTGAATGGCTGAGAAGGGGGGTGTTTTAACAGTCATGTGTTACTTTCTAAAGTTAAAAGGTAATCATTTAACATTGTTATCAAATCTTTGATGCTTTTAAATCGAGTTTAACTTAACTGTAATCAGTTTTGAAAATCATTAGTTAAAAGGTTCAAATATTTGTAGATTACTACTTGTTGCGCTTCTTTTGCGTTTCAGTATATATCCAAAAATAAGAAATCCATTGGGCGGCAGTTACAGTCTTGTCTAAACAAAATTCAAAATTGGGGCGATGAGAATTGTTTTAAATTTTCAAAAAAATGTATTATTATGTGCATTTCTGTTCTAAACAGAAAGTCCACAACGATCCGCATTTGCAATTAAGGTATATCACTCGTCAGCTTCTAAGAAAAGTTCAGTCAGAACCTAAAACTTCAAAACTATTTATTTCAATTCAATTTGTATAACATATTTGAATTATACAATGTAAATTATCCATCATTCAATTTAAAAACTGCTCACAAAATCAGAAAGAAACAAGATTTATGAGGGACTATATCTTGTGATGGAAGGATATTTAGAAGAAACTTCTTAAAATCTACACATTTGTTAAATATAATATCTTGGAACTTCAGCCCCACGTATTTTTACTCCGTTATTTTTGACTATGGATATTTAATATGGGTTTCAATTTATATTTTTAGAACAAATTTTACATATTCTCTCAACAGACTTTGACAAGAAATGAAGATTTATTAAAAAGTCAATATAAAATTTATACTGTTTTTTTTTTTGGCCTAAAAATCGCATATTTTGACCAATATCTTAAAATTTACATAACTGACCTCAACGTTTTCTTTTATTTTTAAAACTACACAATACTTTCAACCGATCAGCATTTAAGTCGTAAAAAGTTTGATACAAGAAAATATCTTATTGTCTATTTAGATCTTTGATACCCCAAATATGATACTATTTAGTGCAAAAAGGTCACACAATAATTTATGCACATTAATTTGCATGATTTGTTCAATGATAAATATTATTCAAACTTTTGTACGTAAAATTAGATGCCATGATTACATCTCATAAAATATGATAAAGATTAAAGTGACTGACCAAAGAGTTACAATTTAAGTGCAAAAAGGTCAAGTTTATTGTACCGTACCTCATTAAGATGCACGATGAACCCCACTTTTCTTTGCCATTTTGAGTCATACTGTATGAGTACTTATCTAAGATATACTTCTCAAAAAATCCTTGACATAACTAATTTCACGAGTGACATACCTTAAATGGCGATCCAATAAAAGTACTTAGAGAGATGAAGTTTATAAGTGTTATATTTGATAAAATGACTTTAATTCCACACATTAAAATATATGCTAAAAGGAAAACTATTTAAGGCTCTAGATATAAATAAAGTTATTGCAATTACTAATTGGGGAGGAGATAAAATTACTCTTCATAAATTCTATTACTCTTTATTAAGATCAAAATTAGACTATGGTTGCATTGTACATGGATCAGCAAGGACTTCTTACTTACATGTACATGTACAAGCGCTTGACGCAATCCACTATCAGGGACTTAGGCTATGGTTAGGGGCTTTTCTAACGTCCCCTGTAGACAGTTTATTTGTTGAAGCAAATGAACCACCCCTCGACCTAAGAAAAATTAGACTAACTTCACAATATTTTATTAAATTAAAAGCGAATAACGATAACCCTGCATTTGACTGTTTGATCCGCTGCATAAAAATTAATATAATAAAAAGAAGAAATTTATTAAATCAATTGGTTTATGATATAATCTTTTAGTCATATCAGAGATTCCGACCTATCGTTAGATATTGTAAAACCCACTGATCATTCTGAAATATCGCCATGGAAATTAATTAAATCAGCTGTAAATACCTCTAACAGAATCATAAAGTCGGAAACAAATTCCATTGTTTTCAAACAGAAGTTAGCCGAAATTAAACAACTTTTTTAAAAACATTCTACACTTGAGATTTATACAGATGGTTCAAATGACCAAAGTAACGTTGCTCCCAGCTGTGATGGTTAAAAATAATGTTTTCTACACGACTTTCAATGACGCAGCTATTTTTACAGCCGAACCAAAAGAAATGCTACTTTCATTTGAATATATTAAATCTTCTAATGACAATTTATTTATATTTTTATCAGACTCTCTTTCCTGCTTACAGTCCATAAACAATATGAACATTGATCACCCATACATTTAGGATAT